TTTACTCGTCATAAAACGATAAATAGTTTGTCAAATTTTTATTCATAAAAATGCAGTTTCAACTGCTTTTTATTTTATAAAATCCGTCTTCTTGCGCCACCAGAGGGCCTTTTAAACAATAGGTAGTCCGTTAGCGTTGGTCAGTAGTAGTCCAAATTCAATACGAACGTTTGTTTCTTGAAAATTTGACCACGATTTAAATACAGTATTTACTTTCAATATTACCGATATGTCATCGAAAAGAAAACGTGTTGTATTACCATCAAAAGACAAATTAAAGTATTTGTTTCGATTATCCGGATTTTTCCTTATCCAGACTACCTTCATCCCCAATTAGTCCGGATAATCGAGGTTCTACTGTACTTGAAAAGAAAGAATAAATAATTACCTTTTTCTCCATATGGAGAAATATACACAACAAAGAATAGCTATTGATAACTTTTTATTGAACGCTTCCTAATTAATAGTTTTTCTACTTCATTTTTTGATTTAATAGAAAATAAATTATAAAAATAAATAATTATAATATTTAAAATATTAATAAAATCTTTGCTTTGGTTTTCACACATCATTTTTACTATTTATTTAAAATAAACAAATAATATGCACTAAAGCATAAACTTTAGTGTATTGATCACAAGTTAATCTATCTAAAAAAATCAAGATATAAACAGAAAACATTTTTCTATCTTGGTTGTGATTTCTTTCTTTTGGAATATTTATGATATATATATTTGTATTTTTTTATTATAAAATAAAACTTACTAAAATAAATATTCAATTTTTACAACTTTTTTACCAAAATATTTTTAAGATTTAGTTACGGAAATCCTACATAACAGAATTCATACTTTAGTTTTTCTTCTTTATTTACAATTTTCTTTCAGTCAAATTACACAAAAATCATTTCTGGATTGAAGAGATGTTCAGATTTTTAAAATATTTTATCATTTGTTATTTTTTTGTAGTTATTAGAAATATAACTTCTAAACATTACAAGATTTCTTTAAAAACTCAAGACAACAAGTATTTAAGAAGAAATTTCATATTTTATTCCTCTAAACAAGAAAAAGTAGTTCCCATTTAATCGAATGTTAAAAAAAATTACTTTAAACAAAATCAAACTTTTATGTAATATATGATAAAAAAAGTATTACCTTATCTCCATTTATTAATTGAGCTTGTATTTTATTTATTTCTTTCCAAGTATCACAAAGTGTCCTTGTTTCCTTAGCTATACACATTGCCCATTTTTTTGCTTCTTTACTTAAACATAATCCAGCATTATGTTCAGTTGATATTTTGTCTATCTAAATATAATTATGACACGTTATTATCATATAAACTCTGCTTAAATTTAAATATAATTATTTTATAAATACATTAATTAGAACTAGTATATTAATATATTATAGGCTAGTAAATGATTTTGATTTCATTCATTATACATTGAATTCAATTTGAATGGGATTTCAATATTGTCATGAAGAAAAAAGAACAAAGATGGCGATTTCTTCACACATGGTTTAGTTTAACAAATATGACTCAAAAATTATATATAAAAATACAATTTTCAGAAATAAGTACAAAAACACTAAAAGAAACATTCAAACTCTCAGTCCAGAAATCAAATATTGACATGAGCTGTTCTTGAACAACATGCTGAATTTTAGAATGCATAAGTTCATGGTAACACTAAGACAAATCCACACTATTCATACATTTTTCTATAACACTTCAAAACAATATACTATAGATTATTCACCATTCATTCTGGTTTACAGTCATTGCACTATAATTCCTTACAAAACCAATGGCTCTTGAAAATTTTGAGGATTATTATGTTCAGAAAAAAGCATACAAACTGTAAGGAAGGAGGAATCATAGAAGTACACTTTGATGGTTCAGCATTACAACAAGGATGATATGATACTTGTAATTGTCAGGTTAATTACCAACCAAACAAATTAGTGTAGATATACATTCCCATAAATAAAAAACTAAATTACAAATTTAATTTAGTTTTTTATTTATGGGAATGTATATCTGTATATTAATTTGAAATGCTGGAGTTAGAGTCAACACATTTTTCCCAACTCCAACTCCTCTGGCCAGAAATTCCTCTTGACTCTGATGCCACAGCCCCGATTCCAATGTTACTTATAAGGTAGAAGCTCTCTCTTCCAACAAAAGATCACAAGTATGATAATAAACTATTCATGTCATCCACATGAAATCTTATATTCCCTTTCACAACTGGAATTTGATGTCCCTAGCAGTGACATCGTAAGTAAGGAAAAGTGCCACCATACTTATGCTTTCTAAAATTCAGCATGTTGTTCAAGAACAGCTTGTGTCAATATTTGATTTCTGGACTGAGATTCTTTTAGTGTTTCTGTATTTATTCCTAAATGTTGTCACCTTTTTTTTGTTTAATTTTTGAGTTACCTTTTTTTAAAACTGTATGTGAAGAATCCACCATCTTTATTCATTTTTTTCATGATAATATTAAAAACCATTCAGGTTGAATCTGATGTTCAATGATGCCAATGTAAATGATGCTTTTGCATTGGTCAATACTTAAATTTTTTGCCTGCCATCATAGTAAAAGCTGAGCTTGACTTGATTTGTAAAAATAACTTTTTCCTGTTGCACTCTGATGTTACAACAACAACTATTTTATAGCTTTACCACTTACTACAGTGGATTTTGTTGTAGTAAGAGTCCAGCTTTAATGGTCAAAAAGACAAATAATAGTAAAATGTGTTTAAAAATAAAAATATCAAAAGTTGTTTAATTGTCTTTTTATCTATTTTTTCATCATTTTAAATAATCCTTCTACAAATACCAAATCAAAATCACAAATATATGAAATGTGTGAAAAAGAACTTTTATGGTATCCTTTAAAACAATTAAATGTTTTAATTTGTAAAGAAATAGATATAAAATTTTCAGGTCTACAATAACAGCATTTTAAAAGGTTCTTTTTTTACATAATATAAAATTTTACATTAATCAATCACTTAAATAAAAGTTAAATCTATATAAGCTTATATATACTGGAAGAGGAGATCAGACTGGAGTCCAAATAGCATAACTGGCAACGCATCTGCACGGTAAGCAGGAATTGTGGGTTTGAGTCACGCTCCAGGCCGATTTTTTCTTTCAGTAATTCTAAATTATTTAAATCAATTAATTAAAAATTATAATTATTAAAGTGGTTAAGAAATGGTGCCTACACCTCCCTCTAGTGCCAAATTATTTGTATAATTTATTTAGAAATAGCCATTTCTAGCCTGATAGCATTCAGCTTTGATTGATATCTAGTTAAATCTACATATTAAAATCTGAAACATTTCATAAAATAAATAAAATACAAACAAATCAAACTGGTTAATAATTATATAAAACTGAATAAATATCAATATTAATAAAGAAGTTATATTTATAAAATTTTAATACCGTATCATTATCACATGGTTCAAATGCATATTGTATTGTCTTTGCCAAAACAGGATTGTCTTGTAAAAAACATTCAAGCGTATATTGCCTTGTAATCTATATAAATAAAAATTAAACTATAAATTATTAAAAAGGAATTAAATTTTATAAAATAAACTTATTGTTAAATATATATTTTGATAGATTTAAAAGAATTTTCGTTTGTATAATGTTAAAAATCAATCATTAACCATTTGAGCTTGATCTTGAACCATATTGAAGGAAGATTGGCAAGCTGCACATGTGAGGAGTTCTGTGCGACTAATTAATTGGATATATTCTTTAATCTTCTCATAAATATCACAGTCAAGAAGCTGTTGAAAACAAATAAATTTAATTTTAACAGAATCAAAATTCTAAACAAAATTAATGAAATATATAAACCTACCTGTAATACATCAGGAAGATCATTATTATAATACTTTGACTGATGTGCATTTGCAGCAACAAGTGCTAAAATGTAATCATTTCTTGCTTTTGTAGACTGGATTTCACAAGCTTCTTTCCTATATGAAAACTAAAGAATTTATTAATTAAAATTATGCAATTTATCTCAACCTAATTTGATAGTCATTTTCAAAATTTGAATAGAAATAAAAATATCAAGAATTATAGGATATGTATGTGGCTACACGTCTGTTTTCTTTTATTATTATTATTAGTAGTCTGTATAGTTTTAGTTTAATTTAAATTCTAGAATTTTCCTTCTTTCCGATTTCTTTGTTCCTTTGTCTCAGACTTCGGAGAACTCGCCTCACCCCTAACCCATCAGGGGGTAGCATTTGAACAAAAGGGAAAACGAGGCTGGAGGGGAATAGGAAGAGTTTCGAGAAGCATTCTTGGGCCGGACTCAGAGAGAGAGAGATGAGTGGCAGCAGGCTCTGGAATGGAAAGTCGGGGAGCGCTGCAGAAGGAGGCCGTAAGAAGCGGATCGGCATAAGAGTCCGGTCGACGATTATAGAGAAAAAACCCCAGAACGGATCCGAATTGTTCTAAAAGGAGAACAGATGAGAAAGAAGCCAAGACGAAGAACGGTGGAGAACCAACAGGAAAATTGGGCACCCTCTGTCCTTTATTTCTTCTTATTTCCCCTTCAACCTTTCCTATCTCTTAGTTTAAGTTAGTTTAAGTTTACGCATGCAACTAAATTTGTCGGGAGGTAGTTACCGAAAAAGTAACTACCGGTCTATTGGTATACCTGGTCACTCAGGATTTTGGAAATGTTTGTAGGTAAACAGCGAGAATCCAAACCTATTCTGTATATATATATATTTCAATGTTAGTGCAAAATTAAACTTGTTTAATTGGTAAAACGTATATGTATTTTCCTGTCTGTGCTGTACATTTTCACATGTAAATAAAAAATGTTTTAAATATACTATACTTATAATTAAATTTACAGTTGATGAATGCTATTCATCTACTTAAAGTAAACATATAATTTATATTTTGGCAGTTATTTTTAAGAAAAAAATTTGACACACAAAAATTATTTAAAATAAAATATTTACTAAAAATTAAACAATTTTTAAAATAAAATAAATACAAATAATTATTGTATTTATTTCAGTAATGATGAAAATATAAAAAATATACAACACCGTTGGCAATGGAGACTTGTTGCAAATTGTGCCACAGTCGTATATTTATTGTATTTTTATAATCATAATTTTATAAATTTTATATTATTTTCCAATTTTTTCTTCTTATTATTCTACTTATTTTTCATATGTTCTTTATTACTGCAATTTTGAGTAAATAATTCATTTGTTATGTGTTTGAAAGATAATTTGAAAGGGGATTAAGGTATACTTTGGTGCTTTTATGATAAACAATATTTATTTTTACACTTACTTTACATAATTGAGACAATTCATAAAAAATTGCAATTAAATTATGGAGTACAGTTTAGTGAGCACAGGAGTGAATTTCTCAGTTTTTCAGAGGGATTTCTCTGTAGCAACTTTCCTGTTAAGGCTAAGTGCCATACCACACACAAAGCAACTTCAAATGCACCTAAATGAAGACAAGACACAAGTGCATGTTTGTGTGTTTGTGTTTGTGTGTCACTGTACTATTATCTTTGTTAATAAACACTTGGATTGAAAATTATTTAATATTTTAAATATTATACTAATGTTAGTTTAATTAAAACTAATACCAAAAATCCTTAAATCCAGTAAAATGGAACATTTATTAATGGAATGAATGTTTTTGACCATATATAATGGCCATCTTCAGGTTCTAGAAAGGAACATAAATAGAACAGAAAGTAAATTTGATATTATAAGCATTCAAGAAATACAAATTTAATTGTAAGTCACATGCACAGGAGTATAAATATAATAAATAAAACAGAAAATAGGATTAAAAAATTAACAAGAAAAATATTAAATACAAAATGGAATAATTAAATAAATACAGTGAAATATACAAATATTGTGGGTAAAAACATAAATAAAATGGTATCTTATACAGTAGAGCGTCGCTTATCCAAAAGCCGATAAACCAAAACGTCAGTTAACCGAAAGCATTCCAATTGGAATGTATCATGCTGAATCGAACATTTTTGATACTAGATTAACTTCCAAAATATAATTTTTTTTGTTTTTATATTTTTCAATAAATTTATTTTGTTTGTACAAAATAAAGAAATAATTTTTAACTATACAATACACACGATTATTATTTTAAAAAATTTACGCTAGGCTTAACATCGACGAAAATTCAATGCAAAGCGACACTCAACGGAGAAAAGTTACAAGATGGGATAGGTTAATATATTTTTTTTGTACATAATCAGTTATCTGAACAACCCCTGTCCCCAATTGATTCGGATACTGTACTTTGAATTTAATTCATGCAGGAGGCCATTTGAACTTTGAATCATTTAAAGTCCATAGCAATTTTTCCCGTTAGAAATAATGAAAAATGAATTTTTCATTATTTTTTAATATTATGTTTGTTACGTTTTTATCTATTATTCATAAAGTGATATTAGGTTTTAAGGGGGATTGAATTTTATTTTCCATAATCCTCTTCCCTCATTGGATGTCCAATGAGGGAAGAGGAATGGAAAATTGGACAAATTGGGACAAGATGGAGGAGGAATAAAAATTTCAAGAAAAATGAGGATGTAATTTATGGACAGCCCCTATGAGAAGTGAGTAGACCACAGGTGGAGTTCTCTCATCAGCATGATCCTTATCATTCCAAAGTAAAGTGAAGGCAATAGGGCTCCTTTCATATGCATTTCTAAACTTGGAGACTTCTGCTATTTCCTTGAAGATATCACAAAATTTTGCTGTAGATGACAGTCCTAAAGGGCCTACTATCATCATACCTGGAATTCATGTAAGTGTGATGTGTGATAATGATGTATGATAGTCTTAATAAAGTTTGGTTGGTAACCATGGGCCATGGCTACAAGGAAGATTATAACTGTGGTCCCTGATAGTCAGAACAATGAGTTTGTGATCTTTTAACAAGGACCTTGAAAGTAGAGAAGCCAAGACGAAGAACGGTGGAGAACCAACAGGAAAATTGGGCACCCTCTGTCCTTTATTTCTTCTTATTTCCCCTTCAACCTTTCCTATCTCTTAGTTTAAGTTAGTTTAAGTTTACGCNATGATAGTCTTAATAAAGTTTGGTTGGTAACCATAGGCCATGGCTACAAGGAAGATTATAACTGTGGTCCCTGATAGTCAGAACAATGAGTTTGTGATCTTTTAACAAGGACCTTGAAAGTAGCTAGCTTATAAGAAAATGGATCATGTGAAGATGGAAGAATGAATAGTGACTTGTAAGAACTTTTAGAGTAAACATTGGAAATGAAAGAGGCATTATCTGTAGTAATAAGCACATCAAGAAAGTAGGTTGTCCATCCCTGCCCTAAAGTTGTAGCAATTTCTTTAATTCTATTAATTTCTTTAAGCTGTCCTGTATATTGGAGCAATACAAAAAGGCTCTTCTAACCAGTGCTCTGAATGCAGAAAGTTTATACTTGTAAGATTCATTGGACCAAGATGGGATGTACAGAGGAGCATAAGTTGGTTTGATATATACATCAGTATAAATACCTCCATTCTTAAACTGAATGTTAATGTCTACGAAGTGTAGACAACTAGCGCCCTGTTGTTGTTAATCACATTCAAAAATTCCTGAACCCTCCAGTTATTTCTCCAAATTATGAATACATCATCTGCATATCTTTTACAGAGTAAGATGTGTTCTGTGAAAAATCTGAGGTATCTTTTTTGAACTTATGTAGTACAATTTTGCATAAAAGTCCTGAAATAGGACTTCCTATTAGGACCCCTTTCTTTTGTTTATACAACTTGTTGTTGAATTTAAAAAATTATTAATAGCAAACTAATGTGACTAACTCATTCATTTCATTTGGGTATATAACTCTGATTTGTTTTGAATCATGAACTCAATAACTGCATCAAAGCACGATTCCAATTTAATAGAAGGATATAAACTTTCAAAGTCCATTACTGTTCCTATTTAATCATTCATTAAATTCAAGCCTTCTAATTCTCTTATCACCTTGCTTAGGTCTTGTGCCACATAAATGCTGTCTTCTAGTTAATCAGAAATGTATCTGTGTAGGCATTTTTGATGGCCTATAGGCTATAATTACTGAGAGAATATTATTAAAAATATTCTCTCAGTAAATGCATAAGTGCAATTGTAAATTTGTAATTTATCTCTGCTGAGTAGGTCTGAACTGCAAATAAATTCAATGTTATATAATTTAATTCTATTATAATTGGTAAATTGGCACTAATTCTTAGTCTTGCTAATTGATAAATTCAGTGGAGTAGCGTGGGTGTCATCTGCCTGGTGCAGAGGAAAATTTTGCCGCCCCCTTATTTACGTATCTCATTTTAAAAGACTAAAATTCAGTTTCGTCACAGAATAAGTAATGAAAAATTCCGTGCTCATTTCAATCGGTCCGAATGTAGGTGCGACAAAAATATGAAATAAAATGGTTCAATTTTTTACAAGATATTATTATTATTTATTGTGAAATTTTTTTGCCCCCTAAAAGTGCTGCCCGGGGCAGGCCACCCCTGCCACCCCCACTACGCTACACCACTGGGTAAATTAATGTTCTTATATTTTACACTTAATTTGATATGACAGCATTACAGTTTTTTAGTATTTATTGGTGTTTTAACAAGTATTTATTTTTTAAATATTGTAAACTCACTCTCATTAGTTAAGAAGTAGGTTCAAGGGAATGTTTTAGTTTAGTTTTATTATTAAGTTATGGCAATGCAAAACTTGGGTGATCTGCATAGAAGGGATGCCTTCCAAGAGGTCTTTCTAAGGGTAACTGGCCCCAATTCAGGCATTACAGACATGGAGTATTTATAACAAAATATTTAACTTAATATAAAGAAAGAGTCAATAATAATATGAAAATCATACAATTCAATTAAAATTAAAATTTTTAATGTATTATATATTAAATTCATATTGATAAACAGAGGCAGGTGAAATACACAGAAAAATTTGATAAAATTTTCAGACTAGTTATCTAATAACTGTAGAAATTCTGTGGAAAACATTAAAACCTTTTATTTCCAGTAAAACAGACTTATTTCATATGGATTTCAGATAGACAATGATATTTTATTGTCTGTTTTGTAATGTAATCAATGCTTTTGCAACAGTACTTGTAGAAAAGGAGGTTTCCATCTTCATACATTCCTTCATCTTGGAACTCTTTTACATAATCTTCAGCTGTTATGTTAACAGTCAAATGGCTTTCTTTTGCACATTCTTTTTTCACACGAAGTAGCCATTTACTAAAGTGTTTTATTGCAGCAGCACAAGAGCAAGTGTACATGTAAATTTAAAGTAAAACTTAAGTAATCATATATTCTGAACCAATTATGTGTAGATAACGAAAACAAACAAAAATGAACGTTTTCATTATCTATACACCATAATTGGTTCAGAGTACGTAATTAACTATATTCCGGTGTGGAGAGTGGTTGTTTACTCTTTAATGATGCCACTAAAGTAAAACTTAAGTTCTGAGATTTTAAAAACCTGTTGTTCTTTAGATCTTAGCAAAACCTAAAATTCTGTGTATGGAATAATCAAGAATAGAAAATTCTGTGAATTTACAGATTTATAAATAATAATTAAAACATATTTTTAGTTAACGTATTTATTGCTATCATAAACAATGTAAACACTATCTGTGGGAAAACTGCTCTGTGTAATTCACCTGCCTCTGTCAAATAAGATTAAGTTTAATTATTATATTAAACAAAAACAGAGTTTTATAATTACCTTTGTACTATTTTTCTGTAGTGAGGAAATGGATTGAAATATTCTCCCTTTTTTCTTTTTTAATCTATATTAGAAACTCAAATTATATACTTAATCATAAAAAATTTAATTTCAGAAAAATAAATTAAAATTAAAATATCCATAACAGAATTTTTTATTTGTTTTGTTATTAATAGTTTACTTTAAATAATTCATAAAAATAATTTTTTAATAAACTGTATTAAAATGTTTGTATTGTGTATGTCTGTATTGTGTATCACTTGTTGTATCACAAGATACAACCTATCTATGTAACAGACTGAAGATGGGCGAAAGCCTGAAACGCGTATTTGTATGAATTAAAAGTGGATGATGAAATTATTTGCCAAGTGTCGATAAATTCACCAAGTTGTGACATCAAATCAGAAGAAACAAGAAGAAGAAGATACGGTTTTGACACATAAATAAAACAACACTATACAAAATACCAAACTTTACTATACAAAAGTAAAAATACCATATTTACTCGCATATAAGACAATCTCATTTATAGGTCTAGGTGTAACTTTAAAGATCAAAATAAAGAAAATTAGATTTATTAATACAATTCTAATTTTATTTCATTTAATCACAAATAAAATATCAAATGCACATAAATGCACACATTGTCCCACTAAAAATTACTGGCATTTTAAACTTCAAGTAAAAATCTTGTAAAATCGACAACATAATTTGTTCATGTAAAGTTGAACAATTACTGGGAACCTTTTTTGACAATTCTTAACAGTCAAATTCACTCTTCATCAATTACACTTATGAGTTTTTCTGAATTCTGATTTCCAAATAATCATCTGTTTTTACGTGGGAACGAATTAAAACTTATATCGGGTTCTCGTGTAATTTTGAAATTCAATTCAAAAGCATTGCTTTTCCTATTGCTATTCACCTTTTCTGCTGATAATACACAAGAACGATTCAAACAACCCAGATAAAATACTTTTGTTTTTAAACACCAGAAGGTGAAAATCTGGTAAAAATGCAAATACATAGTTTACAAAAATTATTGCAAAAACAAATTCAAATTTCAAAAACAAAACACATTAATTCTTTGCTCGTGTGTAAAGGATGACCTAGGTTATTGAAGCTGTGAAAAATGAATAAAAACCTTGTCTTATATGCGAGTAAATATGGTATATCCTCAGATGTTTCTTAATAAATATTAATATATCATACATCTTAAAATACTTATTTCAACTAGAATCAGATTATAAGATGATTGTTTTAAGAAATTGCACTTACTGAAGGTAATGTGTAATTATTTGATGCCAAATCTAATTGTTTGTTGATATTATGCATGTCTTCTAATAATGCTCTAATCTTACATTGATTATGTTGGAAACATATGGATAAAATTGGCATAAAACAGATAAATATTTTATTGTCAAATCTTTTGGACTGGTAATGTATTACAGATGCAATAATGTGATGCAAAATATTTTACATTGACAATGCAAATTTGGGGAAAAACTACAGATGAATCATGCTTCAAAAAACCATCATTGTCAGTTTCTTTGTTTAAGGACTAATTCTGAAAAATTTCTAGTAGTAATAGTATATTATATATCATAATGCATCATACTATTATAATTGTGATGTGATGTGCTTATCCATTACAGAAGGTATTCATTTGTAGCAAAATAAACTCATTTATGTGTTACTAAAATATTGCAACATCTGTCATATAATTGCAAATTTGAAACTAAGATTCTTTCTTGAATGAGGTATGTTAAAAATTAACTACTGGCAATGAAAAATCTTCTTCTTGATGCAATCTGATCTCTTGAGAAGCTTCCATGAATTTAATAATGAAGTTTCACTCTTGTTGCTTTAGATTTCAGGAATAGGTGTATAACTTTATTTTCTCATGGGCTTAACAGTATCTCCTCTTCACTGCTTATCTTAATTGAATATCTTAATTCTGTCTTGGTCTGCAATGAGCTTCACTGAATTAAACATCTAATCAATTCCTAGCAAAAGTGATACTGAATTAGTTCTGTTAAGTGATACTGGATTAGTACTACTTATGGTAGAAATCGATAAACAAATATGGCTGCTTTTAAAGTAGTAACTTGTATATAAGATTTTAATGCAAGGCTTCAAAATTCCAAATGGTTTAATCATTTTAAAATATTGTGACACATATAAAGAACTCGAGATTACTCATTATCCAAAATCTCCTTATAACTAATCCTTAAAACTAACTTACACTAAAGGAGAGCAGAAAACAGATGATAGGGGTGAGAAGTAACAAAGATGGCAAAAAGAATAGAATAAAGAACCCAGGTTGTATGAACATCTTTCTGTTGTTGTGAAGGACCAAGTAGAAACTTCCGTGGGTACAATTCACACTTCCATTCATCTTTCCTTAGATTAAGATGGTTTCTATAAATTCCTAGCCCAATTTGTCATTCATTCATCTAAGCCCAAAACTCATCAAGTTGAGATGCAAATTTCAACACTGTAACAGTGGTCCAAGTTCAGGAGTCTCTCTTCCTCCAAATTGGCTTCACCAGTTTCTTGGGTACTCAACAACTCTCTCTATTCTCCTGTTCATCCTCTCACTAAGAGGACCAGCCAAAAAGTGACTCTTTCTCCCCACATGCCCTCAGGAAACTTTGCATTCATTAAAATCCATCCAATGAACAAAGTGATAATAAATACAAATACATTGCACTAACCTTGATGGGTTTTGCAGTTAATTTTTGAAGCGTAACACTAATGTTTTTATAATAATCCAATGATTGCCTAAATATTCAGGCTATAATACAGCTATAATCACATTTTTGGTCTGCCCTAGGACCTTCTTCAGGTGGAGTTCTATAAAAAAATTTTTTGGTGCGATCTGAGTTTGATCAGCTTCCGATTCTAACTGTTCCAATTTCGAATGCTTCTATTTTCAAATTAATTTTTTTTAAATTTAAAATTTCCAAAAATGTGTGCCTGTGCTGGCCATTATAGCACCAGCTTATACATAGCCTGCCATGCTCTTGAGAGTTATTTTTCATCCTTAAAATTGATTGACAGGCCTTGGCAGTTTGCTTTAAAAATCTCTAATGCCTCCAGATTCCATAGTTGGTTTATGTGATGAGTTTGCCAGATCATTGTCGCTTGTTGTAGTTTGGGTGTAATGCTGTTTTCATTGGCATATATAGCTAAGATGATAGTGTTTTTCCTCTTTTCAAATATCTGTTTTGTGTTCATGAAGGCATTGTTTGAGCTATCTTTTTAAAGATCTGATATATACAAGGTCTCTATCAAATCTATTATCTTTTAGCAAAATTTTTTAGACTCCCGGTGTTCTTTCGATTTCTGCCCAATCTGTAGGCTATTTTAGCATTAGTCTTATACTAATGCAAAAATAGCCTATAGACATAAGCTGGATACATTTGACATGCTAAGGAATGAGAAAGATCAGACAGAAATCAAAAGAAAACTGGAAGTGTATAAAATTCTGCTAAGAGATAATATATTCGATAAAGACCTCCTATATATTGGATCTATAAAAAGATTGCTCAAACAATGCCTCCATAAACACAAAACAGATATTGAAAAGAGGAAAAACACTACCGTCTTAGCTATACAGTAGACCCCCCTATAAAACAGGTTCATATAGTTTGGATTCCTATATCACGGCAAAAAAATTGCGACAGTATTTGTACAAACACGCTAAAAAAACTCCTATAATTCGGTAAAACGTCATCACTGACTTGTGTCGCGACAGGATTGGTCAAATCTAGATCAATAGCAGATATTGTACAAACTGTTGAGTTTAAACGAGCAGCGGACCTACTAAAAACCATTTATTATTTAACATCCATAAAAATTATATTTATATTAATGATGTCTCCAAAGTTCAGTGAATTTTTCACAAAAAAAAAAATAATTTATCAGGAAGCACGCGCATGCCATTCAATGACAAGCTCCATGACGAAAACAAGCTTAAGCAATGGCATTATCGAATGGTGCACACTCGGTAAGCAGTCTTACAATTTTTTGTTTATAGCATAGTTTACATGGATTATTCCCAAAAAATTATACATATTTTGGAAATGTTGAGTCAAATTAGTCTAGAATTGATTCCGTAGTCCGTAAACTGCATACATGTCAGGCAGTGATTGGCTCATGTATTTAAGAACTTGTAGAAAATGGATTCATAAAAACCGGAACATATCTACCGTGTTATAGGGGGGTTGACTGTATATGCCAATGAAAACAGCATTACACCTGAACTACAACAAGCGACAATGATCTGGAAAACTCGTCATGTAAATCAACTATGGAATCTGGAGGCATTAGAGATTTTTAAAGCAAACTGCCAAGGCCTGTCAATCAATTTTAAGGACGAAAAACAACTCTTGAGAGCATGGCAGGCTATGTATGACCTGGTGCTATAATGGCCAGCACAGGAACATATTTTTGGAAATTTTAAATTTAAAAAAATAAATTTGAAAATAAAAGCATTCGAAATTGGAATGATTAGCACCTTAAGTTTCCAGCAATTTTTGATATTAATGTAATTAAACATAAAAAATACTTAAAACTGAAAAAAACAAAAGAGATGCCTTAATTTTGAAGAAAAAGCTTCAAACTTTATTTTCCTTTGTCTCGCCTTTCTGCAAAATTTGACACTGATGAGTCATTGTTTACACAGCTGGATGACCTTGAACACAGCTGGAGTCGGATTTCCCGGGACATTCTCATAGAAGTCTCGGGAAAACAAGGGTTTAAAGTAGGGTGAGTTCTAGCTGGCCGTATATTTTTAAATATTTTTAAAAAATTCAAATTTTAATTGCAAATTCCGACCCCCCGACTTAATTAAACTTATATATAATAAAATCTATTAATTAAAAAAATTAAAAAACTATTGGAGGTGGTTTTTGACATCAGAAAGCAGCTTTAAATAACTTTACCGAAGGAAAATCTGTGCGCTACAACTTAGGAACCATGAAATAAATTTGATAAAAAACTCCCATTAAAAAACAATTAAGCCTTAATCGAGCCTTATCAAAGGCTCATTAAAATCGCGATAAAAATTTTT